TTTTTTTTTTTTTTACCAAAAGTAGTATATAACATGTAGCACTAGCCTTCATGTGGCCAAGTCAAAACAAGGAATATAGTATGAAGGTATGATTCTGTTGCTGGGGGAGCTCTTAGTAAGACTGTAGCTCGTTTGTGGTCGAACTTAAAGAATCTGGACAAATGAATACTTAGCATGTCTTCAAGACCATCTCTCAGGAATCCCAGCTTGGTTCTGTGTACACACAGACATATATGTATATACACACATATATACATTGTAGCAAAATATACATAACATAAAATTTGTCATTTCAGCCATTTTTGAGTGTATAATGTGGTGGCATTAGGTACACTGTTGTGCACCCATCACCACTATTCATCCCCAGAACTTCTTGAAAACCAAACTCTCCGTACCCATTAAACAGATACTCCTCATGCCGCCTTCCTGGTTCTTAGGCCCTTGAAAGGAGATGGGTGGCAGGGAGTTGAGGTTGACGTCTCTGGCAAGTTCTAGACCTATGTGTGTTCTGTGGCATGACAGATGATCTCTCACTGTAGACTTCAGCTATCACAGCATACCTTTGTTGTAGAACCCCAAGGCCCTCCTCTCTTGTTGGCCAGTTGGAGAGAGCTCATTTGGCTGCGGGAGGGTCTGCCACCCTCTGTTACCCATCCTGAGGCTTGCCTCAGGATATCAGCCCCTTTGTTGAAGGCTCACATTTTCTGCCACACAGTGTGGAAGAACTGATCTCCATCTGTAGATTTTTTAGGCTAATTGGTACCAGTAGACTTTTCTAATTTTGTAATTACTTTAACATGGCTCTCTAGGATGGTGCTTCTAGATAGACCTTTTTTTTGAAAAGCCTGAGAAGAGAAACTGTATGCAGGTGTTCCTGATAGACGAAAGAGTGAATTGACCTGTTCACCATGAAAGTATTTTGCCTTTTTCACCCCAAGGCCACTGAGGCCATTTGTGGAACAATTTTGGTTTTGTCACCATGCTTTGACTGTTGTCTCTCATAGTGATTGGACACTGCTTTTATGTGCATTTCAAAGGGATTCTTTGGATCTGAAAACAAACAGATCATTGCTGTGGGGGACACGCTTCCCTTCCCTTCCCTTCCCTTCCCATCTGCCATAACAGAACTGGTATCTAATACCTTTACAAATGGAAGTTTATTTAAGTGTGGATGAGAGGAAATCCTTTTCTCCTAGAAGATCAAGTTTGGGATATAGCCTAAATATTTTTACATATGTTAAGCATCACTGAAACAAACAAAAACACACAAAAAGCATGCTTTCTCTCTTGCTTTTGTATATATCCCCTAGATGGCCAGAAAATTATACTTTCATTTTATGAAAACTTATTTGAAAAATCTGCATCCTTTTGAGCCCAGACCATAGAATTGATTATCTGATTGAGAACTGTCCCAAAAAGAACCTTCTGGTACTTTTGCTAAGTTCAGCACAAGCCTGCATCTGAACCAGATTCAGCTCTGGAATGCCTCAAACAGAAGTTGTAGTTTAACCAGAATTTATAATTAAAATTTACAAGAAATGTTTTGTGAGCAAACTCTTCATCAGATTTTGATATATAACATGTACATTAGAAAAACAATCTAAAAGACTATTTTCCAAAATGTTAGTTGTGATTATACTTGGGTGCTAAGCTTTGGGTTATATTAGTTTTCTTATATACTTTTCCTTCTTATTTTGTAAAAGCAACCTGCATTACTTTTGTAAATAGAAAATGCCTTATTTCCTAAAAAGGAAATTAAAAAATTCTGATGCTTGTTTTGTCCTTACCTTTTGGAACCTTCTGTGTCATTGGCTTTGAGAGCTCAGAGTTCTATCATAGCTGTGACTGTCATGCATCATAGTGCAGTGAAGCCTGCTGCAGTCTTGGGTGCGTTTGCAAGTGAAAGAAGATTCTGGAATGCTCAAATCATTAAGAACTAGTATTATCAGACTGCTTTAATACCTAGCTTAACTGTCTTGTCAGTCCTAATATGACTTATTCCACAGGCCCTCAGTCTTAAAACTATTTTTTTAAATAATTCTTAACTCCCCTGTTAACTACCAATCACCAGT